CACAGATGCTGGCGAAACGTTAGGAAACAAAACTTCCAGAACACGGCCACAGAGCCCGGAAAACCCACACCAGCCTTCGTATGCCGGCCGTGAAAGCCTTCAACAACACATTTATCTATGTGTTTGGTAAGGTTTCTGAGTAATTTTCTGACTTGAGCTAGCTACTGGGCCTCCTGTTCCCTAGTAGCCAGGGTGTGGAGTCAGATCCTGAGAGGGAGGAGGGGCTAAAATGTAAACTTAAAACAGGGGCCCATGTGCCTAATGGCACACAGTCTAAAAGAAAAAAATAAAAATAGAATTGATCTCTAAAATATATTTAAACAATCAGGCTAAACATGGATTAAATTTAAATAGCTTTTATGCTTCTCCTGGTAAACCTAGCTCTCAATTCCATATAACAAAATGAACAAAAAGTTAGTTTTATCCACAGCCATTTTGCTTCTTTTGGCAAACAATCATTCCTTGCAGCAAACCTATCCACCACTTATACTATCCACTACTTTTCTATCAGCATCTAAATGTCTTAAAATTTCTCCATCTATTTTCCTATCTTTTGTAAACTTAATAACTAATAAAATTGTACTTGAAAGAACTATCTTGTAGAACTTTTACAAGCCATTGTTTGTTTTAATAAACAGAAATTAATTTTAAAAAATTGTGATTATTATGAGAGGTTTAAGAACTAAGAAATTTTGTTGTGACAATTTTTCATGAACTAGATAATTAAACTGACTTTATTTCAGCTGAAATGAATTGCACTCTGTAAAAACCTATGCCGTAATTTGAAAAACAGAATGTTACTTGATTCTTTGTGCAAGAAACTAATATGACTGTACCTTTTTTAAAAATATTTTATTAGACTTACATTTTTTGTTTAAGGTAACATTAGAAATTTATAAAATATATGACTGGAGTTTTAGCATTTCATACGCATACAAAAATTCTGATTTTCAGAGTTATTTCATTTGTTGAAAAAAATTACCACAAGATGGCACTTCTAAACTGCCTTAGAGTGCAATTCTATGTTGTATATGAGTGTTTAAAATGAATAATCTCTCCAGTTGGGTGTTAGTTTTAATATTAATGATTATTTTAAAAAAAGAATATTTAATCAGGCATTGCATTTATAGGTTTGAAAGTCTGAAGTAGCTCAAGAATTTTAGAAGATGTTTTAAATCAAATGATACTGCACACCATGCTACATGGTTTTAGGGATTTCCATGCTAAACAAAAAGGTTGTATAGTTGAATGGCTGAGTCTGCAGGAAACTGAAGTTCTAATCCTCCATTCTGAAAATAACACCCTAGTCCTATCTTCTGCTTTAGAGTGGTGGTTTGTAGTTTCTGCTGCTGTCACCTGTCTTCTGGAAGCACCTCACCTAGTGCCCTTCGGCAACCCTAGCATGTGAGAGAGATAGGGGTTTCATTTCCTTTGCTGCCCATTTGTGATTAAAAGGTAAACATGCAAAATGAAATAATGTTAATAGCAATAAGCACCTTGCCATGTAACAGAAGCATGTTAATACATGATTCAACCCTTGTTCTTCTCATGGCCAATATCACCAGAGATGAACAAAATCAAACTTTTTTTAAAAAGAACAAAATATAAACTTTAAATATTAGAATACAAATCATAAATGTTGGTAAAGAAATTATAGAGCTTTTCAAATCAGTGATACAGCTGTCCATTTAAAAGGAAAATTCCAAATGAAAATAAAAGGCTACATTCTCTGTTTTAAGAACCATAATTTTCATATTAATTCAAAGACATACTAGTTGTTCAAATTGTTTTAGGGAAGTGTGCTTAATTTGGCTACTTTTAATTTTGGGAAAAAAATCAGCTGATAGGTCTCCGTTTTCTGCTGAATTTTTTAAAATTCTTTTTTCTCTGAAGTTCCTGTTTGCAATAATCAGCATTTTATTTTTTATATATGTATGTATGTGTGTGTGTGTGTGTGTGTGTGTGTGTGTGTG